GGCTCAGCCCGTCCTTGCTTCTGCTCTTTTATCCTTCCCAGCCCAGCGGAACAGTGGGGAGAAATTATGGAGGGAGGGGGCTTCGGCTCTGTCCGTCCATAGGCGAATCCTCTCAATGGGGAGCGGGGCCACATCTGGAGTGGAGGAGGAAGACATCGAAAGAAAGACCCCAGTGCAAAATGGGTGGGGGAAAACATTCAGGAAACTCCCTGCATCCTGTCCAGTTGGGCAGCGGCCTGCGCAAAGCTCCCCTCCCCCCTTTCATCCTGTGACCCACAGCAATGAAGGGTTCCAAACCCCCCCCCCTTTGCTTCCCCAACCCGATCGCTTTGTGCAGCTTTTCCCTTGAAGGTGAAAGCCTGGCGGCCTCCCCTGCCTTTGCCTCACGACGACAACCCTGCGAGGTAGACTGGGACAGGCCAGATCCACCCAGGGAGGCCCATGGCCAAGCGGGGACTTGAACTACAAACCTTGGCACCCCTCAAGGTGCCGAGGGAAGGAAGGCTGGGCCACCAGCAAACCAAATTGGGGGGGGGCGGGGTCCAAGAAGTTACGACGTGCTGCAAACACCCCCACCCCTCCTCATCCCCCCCGGAAACAGAGCGACCCGCGATCTTCCTCGGAACCAGAAACGAAGCAGCCCCGACGCGCGATGGGTGATGGAGGCCACGCCTGCCCCCTGCAGGCCGGGCCTGGTATTGCTCTGGTCCAGGTTTGGCCCCTCTGAAACCAGGGGGTGCTTCTCCTCCCGCTCCAGGAGGCAGCACCGCTGGGCGAGCGGACCCCCCTTCTCGGCAAGGCTCCCTCCTGCAGCCCCACAGCCGGAGATGCCGCCGCCGCTGGAAGAGCCCCCCGACGGAGGCTGGGGGTGGCTGGTTGTCCTGGCAGGATTCCTGGCCAACTCGCTCACCTTCGGCGTCTTGCGATCCCTGGGCGTCCTCTTCGAAGACCTGGTGGAGGCTTTCGAGGCCACCACGGCCCAGGTCTCCTGGGTGACAGCCATCGCCCTGGCGACGGAGCAATTTGCTAGTGAGTGTGGCGAGCGGGGCGGCCCCCGAGGAGGCCCTGCTGCTTCTGGCATCTGGACCCCGTGCTACAGTCCTCCCCTCCGTGGCTGAGCTGACCCAAGATGGATCCAAACAAGGGATCCACCCATGGTTCGAAATTCAGACTCCTCCGTGCAAGAGGTTAAAGCAAGAACTCCCCTGCGTCAGGGGCGAGGGGGGGGAGAGGACACTGGTGAGCACACTCACAAAATGGCTGCCACGGTGGGCAGGAATAGTCGCAAAGCGCCCATTTCTTCAAAAACTAGCGAATTGCTGTTGGAACGCGCTCTGACCTGTGATCTTAGCTTCCTTTTCAGGTCAGATGAAGCGAGCCTTGGCCTATCGTCGGCCCTATTTTATTTTCTAAAAAACATTCTGGAGTCTGTAGGGATCATTTTTGGAAAGGCAGACAGTGCTTCCAGCTGGTGTATTTACAGGATAGCATGCTAACTTCTCAGAAAGAGATCGATATAGGGATATTAATGCAGTGTTTCTCAACCTTGGCCACTTTAAGACGTGTGGACTCCACCCCCCAGAATCCCCCAGCCAGCCTTTCCCTTGCTGGCGGGGGAATTCTG